AGGAACTGTATTAAAGGGTCACGTCATTAGGAAGGTTGAGAACCACTGGTCTACAGCCAGGGGTTGGGGACCCCCAGAGCACAGCCCCAACTAGCAATAGCGCCTGCAAGCTTGTTAGCAAAGCATGCTCTGGCCCAGCCCTAGCCTAGGAGATGGCAGATCAGAGACGCTGAGGTAGGATGCACAAGCAGGGTAATAGATCCCCAGGCTCAGGGGAGCAGCCTCGGCAGGAAGCCAGCCTCAGAGCAGCCAGCCTCATCCCCAGCCTCCCTTCCTGCAGTCTTCCCACTTCTCGAGAGGAGCTTTCCAGCCTTGCCCTGTCTGCACAGGGAGCGGTGTGGCTCTTCTAGGACAGCCTGACATGTAAGAGCAGCCCTTCCAGAGGAGCTGAGTGATCACAATGGGCAGGTTCTGTTGACATTCGAAGAACAGCCCCAAGGACATAGGCACATTGAACAAATTCTGTTCCACCACACGAGCCTGGCTGCACTTAACATATTCAGCAAAGTTCTATTACATATTTACATATTAGCCAAGTATTGGCTTCACAGTAAACAGACCAATTCTTAACATAAGACCCTACTGCTATAGGCCCAGAACCTTTCCTTGTTATGACTGAAATTAGAAATTGAGTGCTAGATAGTGGTGCAGATGACGGTGGGGGCCACTCCTTCAGAGGGTGGGGTCAGCACGGTCCCTACAGGCAGCCGACAGGAGGATAAAGTCAGAGTTCCATGACTGCTGGGTGAATCTCAGATCAGGAAGGAAGCCAGTACACTGGGACTGTCTGGAAGGCATGGGGCCGAGTGGACTGATGTGCCCATGGCCATAGCCACAGGGCCTTGATAGGGGGCCCAAAACACTCAGAGCCTGTGGCGGAGGCTCCTTTCACCTGTGACCCTGCATCCCCAGCACAGAGCTACCTGCCTCTCCCCTACCCCAGGGCTCGGGCTTGTGAAAGCTTCGGAAATGCTCCCTAACCCTGTCGTAGTGGGGAGGGCTCTTGGGTCTGGTGAAGACACAGTGACGGGTGGGCTGGGGACTGACTCCAGGTGAAGGCCGTGCTGGACGACATCCTCGAGAAGATCCCAGAAACATTCAACATGGCTGAGATCATGGCAAAGGCTGCTGAGAAAACCCCCTATGTGGTAGTCGCTTTTCAAGAATGTGAAAGGATGAACATCCTGACCAACGAGATGCGCCGTTCACTGAAGGAGCTGAACCTGGGGCTGAAGGTAAAGCACGTGGGTCTTCTGGCCGGAGGACACGGCTTGACTGCAAACCCCACAGTAACCCCCAGGCCCCTGGGGCTGGCACAGTATTGCTTCCCCTCCATTCCCTGGGTTGGAGCTCTAGGTGCTCTACTTAAACCACAGGACAGTGTCCAGACTGTCTCCTGGCAGGAAACCCTGCATGGCCCTGAGCCGGGGCATCTCTAGTGCGAACGTACAGAGCTGCACTGTGCTGACAACCACAGCATGGTGAGGCCTGTGTTCCCCCACCCAACCCCACCCCACCCCCGAGAGTGGGCAAAGTGAGGCTTGGCCTGGGCTGCCCTGCACCTGTGCATCCTTCAGGGGGAACTGACGATCACGACTGACATGGAAGACCTGTCCACGGCTCTCTTCTACGACACTGTGCCGGACACATGGGTGGCCCGGGCCTACCCCTCCATGATGGGCCTGGCGGCCTGGTATGCCGACCTACTGCTTCGCATCAGGGTGAGCACGCATCTTACTCTGAGCCTCTGCCCACCTTAGGACCTAGGGCCTAGTGCCAGGCTCAGCACACCTCGCACCCAGAGCTCGCAGAGTATGGCCAGGAAGCTCTGGAGCTGCTGGCCCAGCCTCTGTCAGCAGGGCTGGAAAGGCCTGGTCACCCTGCTCAGACGCCCTGACGATGCAGGCATTTCCTCCTAAAGGAGAAAAGCTAGCACGTCTGCAGTGAGACAGGCAGAACTTTCAGTGAAGCCACCCTCCCCAGGAATAAGGTGATGAAGGAAAAAGCCTTGTTGGGGACCCTAAATTACCCTCAAATGCTACCCTGTTCTCTTTGACCTTTCTCTCCCTGCTCCCATCGCTGAGAATGCAGGCAGGCAGTGACACTCGCCACAGCAAGGCAGCGAGGTTCGTGCACGCTCCCAGCTGAGGCTCAAAGACGCTCCGTGGCGTTGCCCCTACTCAGCAGTATTCTTCCCTTCCAGGAACTCGAGGCCTGGACGACAGACTTTGCCCTTCCTACCACAGTGTGGCTAGCGGGGTTCTTCAACCCCCAGTCCTTCCTCACCGCCATCATGCAGTCCATGGCCAGGAAAAACGAGTGGCCCCTGGACAAGATGTGTCTCTCTGTGGAAGTGACCAAGAAAAATCGGGAGGACATGACTGCTCCCCCCCGAGAGGGCTCCTATGTGTATGGGCTCTTCATGGAAGGTAACAAGGAAGCTTCCAGAGCTGATCCTGCTCAGCTAGAGGCAGAACTAGAGCTGGGTTGGCAGTGGGGGAGAGGCACTCAGAGTCGGGGACAGCAGCTCACATCTCTGAGTTGTGCTGACCAACAGAGAGGGCCAAGAGATTCTGAGACAACACAAGAGTTTGGTGGAGACTAAATGGCCGGGGCTGCCTCACTGAGGAGGGTTAAACTCAGCCCTTCCTGTGCTTGCAGCAGGGAGCTCAGGAGAGATGTGTGCTCTGTGGGTGATCTGAGGGCACAGCACAGGCCCTAGGCCAGGCCACCCACCTGAGTCCTGCCTGAGTCCCCCTAACCCCCAAGGTTCTGCTGCCCCAGGCACATGCCTGTCCTCTAGAGCCCCTATGAGGCCACCTGCATGGCCAGGATCCATTAGAATTTGCCCCCAGATCACTCCATCCTGCTACCCAGAAGAGCCACTGAGATCACATCCCCCACTATAAACATCTGTCCTCCGTTGATGACTTACATCACCCTTTATGATTGGCATTATTGGGGGGGGGGCAGTAATCAGGGCCAGGCCAGCAAAGACTCAGGCACCTGGCTTCCCACATCACCAAAGACAAGTAAAGCAGCAGCCACCCTCACGTTTATTCTGGAATCATAGGCAGGAAATGTAGCCACTATTCACAGAGTGAGTAGGGCCCCAGTAGGCTGCAGGTAATGGCACGGACATGTGCGTCTGGGGGTAACTGTTACGCTGCACGTACACACAGGACAGGCGTCACAGTGAAGGAGCCAGGGAGTTTTAATCTCGAATTTTCAGGTGGAGTTATGATTTCCTGCCTGAAATTAAGGAGGCTGACAGACAAGGCTCTGAAAACACCACAGTTAGATGATGGAACCCGAGAGCTGCAGTGCTGAGCGGCTCCTCGGTGCACAGCAAGGCACGGGCAGCTGGGACATGCACGTGATTACCTGTGCCGGGTCTGCTCACACCTCCAGGTGCAGCCAGTCCTGTGCCAGTCCTGCCCTGCCACATGGCTTGGGCTCTGGGGGACAGAGTCCATGGCTGTAAAGGGCAGGCAGGTTCAAGGGCCTTTCTGGCCCCTCCTCTCACTTGTTGGCAGCATACCAGACAGGACACAGTCGCCTCCCCAGGGCCACCTGACCCTCAGCCATGCTGTCCCCACAGGAGCTCGCTGGGACACCCAGACTGGAGTCATCGCTGAAGCGCGGCTGAAGGAGCTGACGCCAGCCATGCCTGTGATCTTCATCAAGGCCATCCCTGTGGATCGCATGGACACCAAGAACATATATGAGTGTCCCGTGTATAAAACACGCATCCGTGGCCCCACCTACGTCTGGACCTTCAATCTGAAGACCAAAGAGAAGGCCGCGAAGTGGATCCTGGCGGCTGTGGCACTGCTCCTACAAGTGTAGCCCGCCCCATGCCCCCAGCACAGCACAGCCCAACACAACTTAGAACTTCCACCCAGAAGCCCAGCCCTGCAACTCTTGCTGTCCTTTACAAGAATGCAGAGTTGCTTGGGGTTCTCTTAAATAATCAGGTACTTTACGACCAAGTACATCTGAACTAACTAGAGGGTGAGGTTAACATGGAAGAAGGCACAGATTAAAAAACTGGAGCCACTCAGCTGCTCGTCTAATTTGCCTGCAATAGCCTTTGGCTCATGCCTGAGCCACCAAGGGCCTGGCATTGGCTTGGGGTGAGGCCCCCAGCTCCCGGCAGCCAAGGGCAAGCGTCCCAGGAGCCAAACCCTAAACCCTGACTTCATGGGTTGGGGGTGGAGGGTCATTCAGGTTTGTTTTTCAACACAGCAGCATGTGGCTGTCACACCATTCTGCCCACCAGTGAAGGGCAGGGCATCCCCCACCCCCAGTGTCTCCTCAAGGACAGGAGGACCCTTTGCCCACCCCAACCCCACCTCCAGAATTTGGAAGAACTATTTCACACAGGAACTCAGTGACCACCTTCAACCTGTGCATGTGTCCCGGGAGGTCACCAGTTCTTACGTCCACTTCCTCTGCGGCAGCTCTGACATTTTCTCTCCTCTACTCCCCCACCAACAGTCCCCACTTCCTGCCCACATTGCAGGCTGGGTAAACCCACGAGGGGAGTGTGCGGGCTCAGGCTCCATGGGAGCTAGTCTAGGACCAGGGAAGGCCCCTCCACAGAGAGTTATGGTCCTGGCATAAGGAAGACCAAGGTCTCTGTTCTTCATATGACTCCTTTGGCCTATTTGTGACACAGTCATTGATAGAACCACCATAAAAAAGCACCCACAGGATCGGCGCCTGTGGCTCAAGTGGCTAAGGGGCCAGCCACATACACCTAAGGTGGCGGGTTCGAATCCAGCCCAGGCCCACCAACAACAATGATGGCTGCAACCAAAAAATAGCCAGGCGTTGTGGCAGGTGCCTCTGGTCCTAGCTATTTGGGAGGCTGAGGCAAGAGACTGGCTTGGAGCCCAGGAGGTAGGAGTTGGAGGTTGCTGTGATGCCACGGCACTCTACCCAGGGTGACAGCTTGAGGCTCTGTCTTAAAAAAAAAAAAAAAAAAGCACCCACAACCTGCCTGGAGCCAGGGCTCAGGAAGAAAGGTGGTCTGCCTGCCCACAAGTCAGCAGAGTAGGCCTGAGAGGCAGCAGCAGGCCCTCTGCACTCTGTGGGTGCCTGTCCCCAGGAAATGGGCAGCTAGCTGCTGGCAGGTACTGGTGGAAGGGCTGCCAGAAGCAAGACCAGCAAACCCCGAACCTTTCCGACTCTGTGGCCCTGCTCAAGCAGGACATGACAGCAAAGTGGCTGGGCTGCCAGACACGCACAAGGGGATTGAGAAGACTGGAGGTAGGGCAGGGGACAGCTGAGCCTACAGATTGCAAGAAAGATGGGTCCCACGGGCACTGGGACCTGAAACATCTGACATTTCTTAGACTTAAAAGCAAAGTAAAGGGAACCTTCTCTAGGAATATCATTCTCAAGTTCTGTTAAAATATTTTTCCAAGTCTATGCACCCAAACCATGGGTGAAGAGGCAGCCCAGGAAGTCTGCACTGAGCATAATGATTCACAATAATCCCAGGACCTGGGGGGCTACCAGAGGGAGAAGGCAAACAGCCCGGGAATCCCTCCCTGGGGCTGCAGTGGAGGTGGCTCAAGGTCACTGACCTGGCTGCTGGCAACTACTCTGCTGGCCAGGAGGGGTCACTGCAGCCCCTCAGGTCCAGCTTGGGGTTGGGGGTGGGGGGTGCAAGCCACTCCTCTGACCAGAGGAGATAGAACTGCAGTGGCCACCAAGCAACAGGTTCCAATTCCTGGTAATAACCACAAAATGTGAAGTTTTTCCAACTTTGCCTTTAGATCCTGAAATAAAACAGTCATTTATTCCACATGTACACATCGTGGGTAGGTGACAAAATTGTCTCCAAACTTTCCATAAGATGATTCAACTCTGTGTTGCACTCCAGGGATGGAGAAAGCAGGGATGAGGACCAAAGCTGGGGCAGCCCCTCCTGCTGCTGCTTCTCCAGGCTGCTCTACCTCTGAGTCAGGGGAGAGCACCTGCCCAGGACAGCCCTGAAGGTCATTAGCAAAGACAAAGGGAGCAGTGGAGAGCAGAGGGCATGGAGGGCACAGCGGCAGATTGCTCAAGCCCAAGCCCCGCTGTGGCACAATGATGTTTACTCTGGTCCCACAGACTCTGCAGGAATGCGAGCTCTGTTTACCTAAAGCCTCTCTCCAAACAGAGTCCCAGTGCTTGAGCACATTCCTTTGGCTCCTCCAGTCTAATTGTCCCACGGGACAATTTAATAGCTGGTCGGAACAAACAGTGTTAACTGATGCGCTGCTACCCAGGGCGGCACAGCCTACGCCCTACTTTCAACCACTAAAACCTGCAGGCCTACGGGGGCTGGGCAGTGAGTGGCGGGGTGGGGTAGTGGTGCCTGCAGTAGTCCTTGTCTAAGGCTAGGTGCTCCCAGGTGCACACAGCAAGGCTGGCCGGCCACAATCATTCAGACCCCATGAAAGGTGAGCAGCCATTAAAGCTGCTTCCCAGAGGCAAAGTACAGGGACAGAAACCCATCCACCTCCCCTAAAGGACAGGTCCTTCCCGCCCCAGTGCTCTGGAGCCAAGAGGCTTCTCTACGGAAGAACCTTTCTCTGTAGAAACTCAAGCACCTAAAGTGGAAACTGGGCCATGAAGTATTGAAATCAGCTCCCGGAGATACCACTGGGGAAGGGGACTGGCTTTTATAAACACACACACACACACACACACACACACACACACACACACACGAAGGTGTGTTCAAGATGCCCTGCAGTAAGAAGGTGTCACAAAAACATTTTAAGTAGATCCAATAAAAATAAGGTTCACACCTATAATCCTAGCACTCTAGGAAGCCAAGGAGGGTGGATTGCCTGAGCTCACAGGTTCAAGACCAGCCTGAGCAACAGCGAGACCCCGTCTCTAAAGAAAAGAGGTGGCAGGTGCCTGTAGTCCTAACTACTCGGGAGGCTGAGGCAAGAGAATCGCCTGAGCCCAAGAATTTAAGGTTGCTGTGAGCTATGATGCCATTGCACTCTATCAAGGGCTACAAAGTGAAACTCTGTCTCCAAAAAAAAAAGAAGAAGAAGAAAAAATAAGTTCAATCTTTAAAAATATAGATGGCAAGGGGAAAAAAATAGAGGAATATACACGTAAGAGACTTTGCCAACATATCACAAGGTGTAGGCCTTAATCGAATCTCAAGGTAAAGGAATAAAAAAATTAAAATGAAATAAAAAATACTTATAAGGCAATCATATTTGTTAACACCTTCTGAGTACTTGATTATACTAAGGAATTCTTGCTCATGTTTTTTAATCAGGTCTCATTTTGGTATAGTTTTTTAAGAATCTATATTTTTGTGTGTAGCTACATACATATCTTATTTAGGAACATGGCTCGGCGCCTATGGCTCAAGCGGCTAAGACGCCAGCCACATACACCTAAGGTGGCGGGTTTGATTCCAGCCCGGGCCTGCCAAACAACAATGACAGCTGCAACCAAAAAATAACCGGGCGTTCTGGCAGGCGCCTGTGGTCCCAGCTACTTGGGAGGCAGAGGCAGGAGACTCGCTTGAGCCCAGGAGTTGGAGGTTGCTGTGAGCATGATGCCTCGGTACTTTACCCAGGGAGATAGCTTGAGGCTCTGTCTCAAAAAAAAAAAAAAAAAAGAAAAAAGAAATAGGAACGTGTGTGAATATCAGAGAAACAAGTCAGCAGTGGCCCCCTTGGGTGGGGAAGGGCAGGAAACAGTTGCATTCTTTTGGTCCTTCAGTACTACTTTACCCCCTAAATGGTACATTATTTTTAAAAAATTTAAATAGCTGGTGCCCGTAGTTCAGTGGGAAGGGCACCGGTCACATGCACCAAGGCTGGTGGGTTTGAATAAATAAAATAAATAAATTTAAATAATGAAGTAAACGGATACAAATGTTTAGGCTCAGCGCTATGGCTCAAGCAGCTAAGGTGCCAGCCACAACTGAGCTGGCGGGTTTGAATCCAGCCCAGGCTAGTCAAACAACAACAGCTGCAACCAAAAAATAGCCGGGCTTTGTGGCGGGCGCCTATAGTCCCAGCTACTTGGGAGGCAGAGGCAGGAGAATCGCTTAAGCCCAGGAGTTGGAGGTTGCTGTGAGCTGTGATGCCACAGCACTCTACCCAGGGCGACAGCTTGAGGCTCTGTCTCAATAAAAAAAAGAAAAAGAGATACAAACGTTTAAACTGAGGCAGAGAGGAAAAGCAGGGTGGCGAGGTCTCAGGGACCCTAAGCTGCAAACTCGTGTGGACGCACAGCCTCTATCCTACCTCCAATCCCTATTCTCCCTGTCCCACAAGCCAAAGGCCCAGCCCATTCAGCCAGCAGACTGCCAAGGACACCCAGACCCAGAGAGCCTCCTACCTGGGGTGAGGTCAGGGTCCTAAGGAATCTAGAACACAGAGGGTCACTCCAGAGATCCCATCTCCAGTAGCAGTCACCCACTGCCCAGACCTCCAGGTGTCTAGATAGCCAAGTAGAGCAGATGACTGTGGAAGAGGGTGGGCAAAGCACGTCCTATTCCTCAACAAACTGCCAGACCCCCTAGAACACTACATCTCCATAACCATGCATCACAGAAATGTCAGGGAGGCGGGAAACAGCAGCCCCAAGGTCTGGCTCCATCAACACCTCAGCCTAGGAGCAGCCGCTGGCCAGGGCTACAAGTCAGAGCTGCTCTCCCAACCTGAAGTCTTCCTCCTCCTCCACATCTACCCTTTCCTAGGCCCCTGCACCAGCATGCTCAGAAAAAGAGAAGGAAGGGAGAGTAAAAGAGGCCCAGGCGCTGCCTGGCCCACCATGGGCAGCCCCAGGACTTGGTGGAGTCAATAACTAACAGGAGGCAGCCGGGCTGCCTGAGTGTCAGGCTTCAAACACTGATGACTGCCATCCATGACCCCAGAGGTACAGAGAAAGAGATGGCAGGGTCCTCAGGGCTCCTTTGAGAGGCCCCCTGGGAGTTCAGACGGGTGAGAGCAGCCACTTGACCTACTCATGAGTGCTTGGAAAACCTTGAGAGGCAGCGCTAGACACGGCACCTGTCCGTCCTCAGAAGAAGTTCTTGATCAGTGGAGTCACTATCTTCACCCACAGCTTCACCTGCCGACTCGGCTGCTCGAAGGTGGAGGAGGATACCACACCAGACCTCAGGTAGAGCTGCTCTTGCTCCTGAGGAAGAGGGAAGGAAGACTTAGTAGCCCCTCCAACCCCATGTCACCTGACTGGCGGGCCCTGGCCATGGCCCTCAGACCAGCCAAAAACAGCATCCTCACTTGTCTACCCTGCCCGGAGTTTAGCAGGTGCTCCAGACGCAGGGGAGGCCAGGCCCTGAGGCTGCTGCTGTCGAGACGCCCTCAGAGACCCTAAGAAGCCCTGTTCCTAAAGATTTTTAAAACAGAAACATGTATGAGACTCTAAGCCTCTCCAATTTACAGCTGAACAAATACAGCTGATGGAAAAAAATATTTTAAATGTTCATCATTGCTACATGATGTAACATAAATTAATAAGTTTTGTTTGGTTTTTTTTTTTTTTTTTTTTGAGACAAAGTCTTACTCTGTTGCCCTCAGCAGAGTGCCCTGGCGTCACAGCTCACAGCAACCTCAAACTCTTGGGCTTAAGCGATTCTCTTGCCTCAGCCTCCCAACTAGCTGGGACAATAGGAGCCCGCCACAACGCCTGGCTATTTTGTTGTTGTTGTTGCAGTTGTCATTGCTTAGCTGGCCGGGCTGGATTCGAACCCGCCAGCCTCGGTGGCTAATGCAGTAAGCACTGGGCTACGGGCACCGAGTCAAAATAATGAGATATTTTTAAATGAGAAATACTTTTTTCTCTTATCAAATTGGCAAAAAGTGGGCTCAGCGCCTGTAGCTCAGTGGTTAGGGCACAAGCCACATATACCAGGGCCGGTGGATTTGAACCCAGCCCAGGCCAGCTAAACAACGACAACTACAAAAAAAAATAACCCAGGGGGTGTGGCAGGTGCCTGTAATCCCAGCTGCTTGGGAGGCTGAGGCAAGAGAATTGCTGAAACCCAAGAGTTTGAGGTTGCCGTAACCACTCTACCGAGGGCAACATAATAAGACTCTATCTCCAAAAAAAAAGGGGTGGGGGGCAAAAAGTTGTTTTGTAATATTATCACCCTGTGCCGGCGAGGTATGGAAGCAGGTGCTCTCCATACTATTGATAGAGAAGGGACAGAATCGTCTTTCCAGAGTGCAATCTGACAACAGGTAAAAACACAAAGCTCCATTTGTAAGAGTTCATCCAAAGAGAAGTTATCTATGCACTCAGAACCATGTGCTAAAATTTTTGTATACAGATTTTTTTTTGTATACAGATATTTATGACAACAATATTTATAATAGGGAAAACTGGAAACCACCTAAATGTCCAACAGCTAAACTTATTAATAAATCCCTATGACAAACCAGCAATCACCATAAGATAACAATGTTAGGAAGAACATTTATCTAATAATAGGGGGAAGCACACAAAATTATTTGGTAAAGCTGGACAAGAAATACTATATGCACCCAATATAATTCTAATTTTTTCTTTCTCTTTTTTTGAGACAGAGTCTATGTCACCCTGGGCAGAGTCCTGCCGCATCACAGCTCACAGCAACGTCAAACTCTTGGGCTCAAGCGATTCTCTTGCCTCAGCCTTCCAAGGAGCTGGGACTACAGGCACCTGCCACAATGCCCACCTATTTTTTGTTACAGCTGTCATTGTTTAGCAGGCCCGGGCTGGGTTCAAACCCGTCACCCTTGGTGCATGTGGCCAGTGCCGTAACCTCTATGCTATGGGCGCCGAGCCTCTAATCATATTTTTTAAAAAGTATGTCTCTTAATAAAAGACAGGTAGGGGATTGATTTTAGTGTCAGGCAGTGCCTGCGGCTCAAGGAGTAGGGCACCGGCCCCATACACTGGGTGTGGCAGGTTCAAAACCAGTCCTGGCCAGAAACTGCAAAAAAAAAAAAATGATTTCAGCATTTATCTCGGGATGAAAATGTTAAGTTTCTTCTTTCTTAATTTTTACAGTGAACATTTATTACCTTCATATTTAAAACCAAGTTAAACACATACATACACACACACACACACACATACAGGCCAGGCACAGTGGCTCACATCAGTAATCCTGGCACTATAGGAGGGCAAGGCAGTTATAACTTGAGCTCAGAAGTTCAAACAAGAGCAAGACCCATATCTACTAAAAATAGAAGAAAAGGCTCGGCGCCTATAGCTCAACCGGCTAAGGCGCCAGCCACGTACACCTAAGGTGGCGGGTTCGAAT